CTATTTGTGTCTTAAAAGCATTATCTTGATAAAAGTCTACCAGCAGCTACACAGAAGCTGTGGCAGCCTACCCTACCAACTCTATTTCATGGGCCATGTCAGCAGTAGCACACCGTTACTTGAGACGACCCAAAAATATTCTTTTGTTTGCTTGTTACACAGTTGTCTCTATAGTTGTCTATTATAGGTTTTATACTCAATGGCAGATCTGCAACGCAATTCTAATTTGTTAAAGCTAGCTGCTAGCTTTCCCCCTAACTTGCTACCTGGTCATACGGACATCATAAATGAAAGATAACATAAAAAAGCCAAAAGAGGATTGCAATAACATTAAAGTACCACATATTGGGTCTGCATTGGTGTGGTTTATTGGAAGGTATCCTTGGTCACAGAACAGCATTTGCTGCTAATGAGGGCACAAAGGATTAGTTAGTCTGACTTTTAGCTATCATTAGCACCACCAGGAGCTGTAGTCTGCCAGAGAAAGCCTCTCTGGATGCTTTGTGTCTCCTTCCATAATTAATATAAAAACAATAATATCTGGTAATGTTACATTTTATAACTTAAAAGACCACAAAATGGGTTCTCTCAACTACACATCTCCCTTATAACTGCATTATTATCGCAAAACCCACTTCGCACAATATGACACACACTGCTTTGATTAAGGTGTTTCGAACTGACTGCCAACTGGCATCATCTTACTGTTCCTATTGGCTTTGTGAAATAGAAAAAAATCCATTGAAGGTAAGTAACCCCCTTGGGTAGTTACCCTCAATGAGTCACTAAAACTGTTTGGTCAAAGGCACCTGTTCATTTATTTATCTCATATCATTCACTGTGAAGCACAGTACACTGTTTAATTCTTACCCCCAAACTAATTCTAAACTAACCCTCCACCCGCTCAGTACCTATATTTGCCATCTCAGGTACGGTGGCGCTGTAGGGGCCTTCATCAAAGACAGGCGGGTTGTCGTTGATGTCCTGCACCCGAATTATGAACTGTGACGAGGGCTCCAGAGCACGGTCGGTCTGCCTGTCGGTGGCCGTGGCGATGAGACGATACTCGTCCTTCTCCTCACGGTCCAGCGGCTTGGTGACATGGATGTTACCCGTTTTCTCGTCTATCACGAACACCGAGCCTGCCCCTTCGCCTCGCAGGACATACTTTGTGCGTCCATCATTCCTGTCCATGTCAGTGTGGAGCTGAGTGGGGACGGACAGAAACGGGAAAAAAGAAAGATGGGGAAAAATGGAAGCAAAGAGGAAGGAAACGGGTGGAAATGGTAAGGAAACAGTGGGGAAGAAAGACAAGAGTAAACACCAGTTAAAAATTAAGTTTGTTTTTTTGAGCCAGTCAGTGAAGACAAAAAACAAGCAGATTATCTTCTGCATGCCTCTAGGATATAATGAATTTGAAAAGAAGCAGACAAAAGAAATAGGCACAATACCTCCCTCTCTCACACAGACACACTTTCCTGCCATTGTGCTGTGTCTCATCTTTCTATTCCTGCAGTATGAGCAGTTATGAACCTGGATCTCCTTAATCTTAAAGCTATCCAGAACACATGCTCAAGTACTCACGCTTAAAGCCCCCATTCAGTTCCCAGCAGCTGTGGAAGAGGAGAGTTTACTAGTCTGTGCACATGCAACGCTTTGGCTATTTAATGAAAGCACCAAATCAAAGGAATAATAAACAGTAGGTCTATCAATTATTCTGTAACTAATAGGTGTGTATAAGTGAGGGTGGAGTTTGTATGGCAATGGGACACGCAGTATCGATCGCAGCCCTGTTTTGAGGTTTATTGGATCAGCGCCTAGCGGGATGGCAGAGCAGCAGAGCGACCGGCGTCCTCTCATGCAGGGAGAGGTAATATCAGGGAAGGCTCCACACTGTCCTCCGCGCCCGACGAGAGACAAGCCAGCGGGATGTGGTGAGCACATCAAGATTCAATCTCATTACCCCCACACCTACGTGGATCGAATAGAAACTGTGACCAAAAAAAAGAGCGCTAAATTAGGCCCCGCTTGCAAGAAAGTGTGACATTGTGACTTTAGATGGAAAGGAGAGAGCAGAGAGGCGACTGGGGAGGGGATGGGTGGGTTTAGCTCAGGAAAGCATTGTTGCGTGGCAACAGCTAAGCACATTTGCTAAATGAAATGAGAATGGATACTGCGAATCGAAATGTTCATCTACTTTAAGGATTGCTATTTTTCAAGTGGGGGGGGAAATGACGTGGATGTGCCAGCTTCATGGGGGGTAAACGATAAGCACGTTACAAGGCTTATTCATAAATAAGACGGCAGTCATAAGTCTAGACTGTCAGTTAAAAGTTAAAGCTAATTAAACAGCATGGCACAAAGTTAAACAGCACTTCACCTTCAGAAGATCTGCGTATTTTAATGACAACATAAATTGGAAAATCTAAAGGCACACCCACCAACATGAGACAGCGCTGCGTGAGCAGAATGCACAAGCTAGACACAGATGCACTGCTCTCCTGAATGTTATTATTTTCATGGACCTATAAATGAAAATGCAAGGCCTTCAATAACTAGCTTAAAATCTTCATGTTAGCTTAGTTCCTCTAAGCTACTTTAGTTATCACATAGGAGACGTGCTCCTTTATGTATGACGCGGACATTGATTGCCTTGGGCAAACGGATTGACAGACAAGACAGATCAACATTCACGTCTGTCACATTTGCATGTCCAGCTGACTATTTATGTTCAGAGTTTATAATTGTCTTCATTGTCTCTGGGGGCCCAGCACATTTTCTCCTTCTACCTCCAGTCAAATGCCTGGTTGACTAGAAACATGTATATGTATGGGTTCTTGCAACTCTTTGAAATTGGATGACCAGTCATTTGTGACAGGACATGATGGAAAAGGATCACTTCCGACATATTTCTCTCATATGTCCTTGTTGGGGTTTAGAATTTACATTACAAATAACATGTAGCCCCTGTAGCCAGGACCAAGTAATCTGAGTAATTTTGATGTGATTGTCCAAGAGACCAAGTGTAAGGAGTGGCAGCTGCTCAGGGCTGAGAAAAGAAACAAAAAAA